GTTTGTGTCATGTTTGATTTTTTTTCTGCAGTGTTTTGTAGTTCTTCTTGGTAGAAATCTTTCACCTCTTTGGTTAGATGTATTACTAGGTATTTTATTTTTTTTTTGTTGACTGTTGTAAATAGGATTGCATTATTGATTTGTCTCTCAGCTCTAATGTTATTTGGTGTACAGAAATGCTACTGATTTCTGTACATTGATTTTATATCCTGAAACTTTACTGAAGTTGTTTACTGTCAGTTGCAGGAGCCTCTTGGTGGAATCTTTAGGATCTTCTAGGTAATCATATTACATATTGTAAGTTAAGAGGGATAGTTTGACTTATTATTTTTCTATTTCGAAGCCTTCTCTTTTTTTCTATTGCCTGATTCCTCTGGCAAGGACTTTGAGTACTATGTGGAATAGGAGTGGTGAGAGTGGGCATCCTTGTCTTGTTCCAGTTGTCAAGGGGAATGTTCCAGCTTTTGCCGGTTCAGTATGATGTTGGCTGTGGGTTTGTCATAGATGGCTGTTACTGTTTTGAAGTATGTTCCTTCAGTGCCTAGTTTGTGCAGGGATTTTTATCATGAAGGAATGCTGGATTTTTTTGAAGGCTTTTTCCACTTCTGTTTATATGATCATATAGTTTTTGTTCTTAATTCTGTTTTTATGTTGAATTGTATTTATTGATTTGCATATGTTGAACCAACCTTGCATCCCAGGAATAAAGCCTTCTTGGTTGTTTTGAATTATTTTTTTAATGTACTGTGGAATTCAGCTTGCAAGTATTCTGTTGAGAATTTTTGCATCTCTGTGCATCTGGAATATTGGCCTATAGTTTTCTTTTTTCACTGTATCTTTGCCATGTTTTGGTATCTGAATTATGCTGGTTTCGTCGAATGAGTTAGAGAGAAGTTCCTTCTCCTCAGTTTTTTGAGAATGGTTACAGTAGAATTGGTACCAACTCTTCTTTTGTAGGTATAGTATAATTTGGCTGCAAATCTATCTGCTCTGGGGCTTTGTTTGGTTGACAGATTTTTTATTACTGATTCAGTTTCAGAACTTGATATTGTTCTGTTCAAGATTTCAGTGTCTTGCTGATTCAATGTTGGGAGGTTATGCATTTCTAGAAATTTATCAGTTTCCTCTAGATTTTCTAGTTTGTGAGCTTCAAGGTGTTCGTAATAGTCTCTGAGGATCTTTTGTATTTCTGTGGGATCAGTTGTAATACCACCTTTGTTGTTTCTCATTGTACTTCTTTGGCTTTTCTCTCCTTTAGCCTTTGTTCTTGTAGCTAGCGGTCTAGTGATCTTGTTGATCCTTTCAAAGAACTAACTTTTGGGTTTGTTTATTGTTTTATGGATTTTTTTATATCAATTTCATTCAGTTCCACTCAGATTTTAATTATTTCTCCTGCTAGCTTTGGGGTTAGTTGATATTTGTTCTTCTAGTTCCCCTAGGTGTGATATTCGATTGCTAACTAGTGATCTTTCTAAATTTCTGAGGTATGCATTTAGCACTGATAACTAATTTTTAAGAGCCCTGTTAGAATTCTATTCCCAGAAGTGAGTTTTTAAAACTCTTAAGGAAAAAGAAGCATCTCTATTTTAATCCCTACCAAACCTGGAGAGCAATCTTGGAGTTTAAAAATCCTTGAGATATTTTATACATTCAATTATATTGCATATTAATGTAGAAAAACTGACTATTTACCCTGTTACATATGAATATAGAGTATATGACTATTTACCCATATATATAAAATACCATGTCTTGAATGCATTAAAAATGTAGGAAATCTAAAAAAGGGATTTACAAAGCACCAGTGTCCCCAAGACATTCCTAAGAATGCCAATTGCTCTGTGTGTGTGTGTGTGTGTGTGTGTGTGTGTGTGTGTGTGTGTAGTGAGAGAGAGAGAAAGAGACAATCCTCAGTTCTCGGATACAACCTATTCATAGGCATTCATGGACATGCATTTAGGAACTACTATTCAAGGACATATATATAAGTGAAACAGAAAAAAATCAATCATTTCATTTTAGATATATGTTGATATTTAGAAAAAACAAATGTGATATTTCTAAAATAAATTTATTTATAGTTAAACATACAGCTATGAGACAGGATTTTTAAATATATTATTAATCTAACATGGACTATCTTTATACAGAATAGAATCTTTATTTTTTTTTTTCACTTGGATGAATGAAAATGGAAAGTGAAAATTAAGTGAAAGCAATCTCAATAACAATTGGCTCCTCTATCTTTCTTTCTGAGTCCTTTTCTTTTCTGCTTTTCTCACTTGTCCTCCAAATGAAGATTATAGAGTGCTAGAAACAGGCGGTGTAGATAGATTAATTGGGGATAAAAACATCTACTGATTTTTTGTTCCAACTCCAATAAAATATCATTAATATGAAAGCCTAGTGTTTTTCACTATGGTTATTGTGTTCCTGGGTCTCTTTATCCTGTCTTACCAAAAATTATTGCTACATTTCAAATTCGTAGTGGTCCATCACAATAATAATAAAATAACTGATAAAAATAATGAAATTACAGGTTTCAGCTCCCTAGACTGTTTTAGGAAGATACCTTTGCTAATCCAAGCAAAGATTAGGATGATTCACCACTGGTCATAACCACTTTCTATGATCATACTGGTTGGGTAAGTAAATGAGAGACTATGTAGATTTCAGCACCAGCTAAGTGAATGTTGTGTTTTGCATGTTACTCATAATTTCTCGCATCTATGGAGAAATGAATTTTTTTCCTATAGTGTTTAGCAGTAATATTTTCTCTTTATTTATCATTAACATGCTTTTACAATTAATAAGCTGGTGTAGACCTCCTGTGAGTATTTGGGAGCTATAGTGTAACAGAGGGCTGTTATTTCATTGACTATATTGTCATTAAAACAAAACAATGTCAATAAGAAAGGAAACTGTTCTAATAGGCAAAATACAGAAAGAAGATAGTCTTAAACAAATATGGTCATTGTCCATCAATGCTCTATGTATAAGAAAGGAAAGATGCCACCATTAAAAGCTAAGTAAATCAAGCACCTCTTCTTAGAATTGATTACCTCTGCTTTTAAACAGATAAATTAAGCTATCTAATAATGCCAGTGAGTATTACGATCATACAATATACTTCCTCATTTTAATTTTCATACTTACCAAGCAGCTCTTTATTGGCTTACCATTTGGTTTACCATTGTATGCAGGGAAAGAATGCATTGCTGTAGACAGTTCTCTTAGCATTCATTTGTATATCTCTTTTTTTTTTCCTTTTCTTTTTTTTTTTTTTTTTGATGGAGTCTCGCTCTGTTGCCTAGGCTAGAGTGCAGTGGTGCCATCTCGGCTCACTGCAAGCTCCACCTCCCGGGTTCAAGCCATTCTGCCTCAGCCTCCCGAGTAGCTGGGACTACAGGCGCCTGTCACCATGCCCGGCTAATTTTTTTTGTATTTTTAGTAGAGACAGGGTTTCACCGTGTTAGCCAGGATGGTCTCGATCTCCTGTCCTCGTGATCCACCCGCGTCGGCCTCCCAAAGTGCTGAGATTACAGGCGTGAGCCACCGCACCCAGCCTTTATATCTCATTTTATATATTCATTTTCAGTCTGATGAGCAGTTATTTGAATCAGAGTACTAGAGCAAATCTCAGCAAGCTGACACATCAAACTCTGAACTGAGAAGTTTAAGTTTTTCATATCAATGATTCTTATCTTGACCAAAATCTCTGAGGTTTTGATTCAACTGAGGTTAAAACAGTGAAAATTTTTATAGCAAGCACCCCAGGTATTTGTGCTACAGGTTGTCTGAAGCCACCTTTAGAGAAACTCTTCTAGTTACAACCTTAAAATAAAGCTTTTTGGGGGATATTCAGCCAGCCTTCCTTAGATGAAACTATAGTTGCTTCCATCTCCAATCTTATAAAACACCCACTCAATAATGTTGGTGAACTGAGTTTCTGATTGATATTTCTAGTGTTACAATGTGTCTTAGGAAAATATATTTATGACTACAATAGAAAATGGAATAGTTGATTTTTCTATTTGTCATAATCAAAAGCATTGAATTTCTTTTCTACCTCCAACATGTTTCAGAAGACTGTGAAGAATGAATAATTAATATGGATGATCTATATGAATATAAAAGTGTCAAATGCCCCATCTTTTGACTAAAAGTAATTTTAGTAACACATTTATTTTATATAAATATTTCTATTTTAATGATGTATATACCTGCTATTTTATAAGTTTTATAATTTAATGTATGTGTGTGTCTGTGTGTGTGCATGTGTAAATATATACTGCCACTATATCTATCTGGTTGCAGTATTTGCCTTCTACTGATGAACAGATTTGATTTTATGTTATGGAGTCTGGATATGTATACCATTCATTCACTGCTTCATGAAAAATGCTACAGAAGTTCGAAAGATGAGCTTCCTAGACAGAAAAGGTTCAAGAGTGTATGAGTAACCATGAAATTATATAAAATAAAATTTAATAAGATTACTAAGGATGAAATTATAGTGTGTTTCACACGAAATTGTATCCAGATAAGGCTGTGTTCTAAATTATAATGCTAGTAAATAGCAGTGAGATAAAATGAGAATCCTCTGGTTTAAAAGAGTTCTGGTAATTCTGTAAAACTGTGCTGGTGTCTTATTCTTTCTGGGTCTCATTTTTCTCCTCTGTAAATATGCAAAGTTTAAAGTGTATGATTTCTCAAGAGCTATTGTAGCTCAGATAGGCCATAAATCTTTGATCATTTTGTACTATGCTTGTGTTTTGCTAAGCACTATTGAAATGCATATCTTAGTTTCATCCTGAATCAGGAGGTCTATCTGTATCCATTATGCCTTTGTTTTAGGTTGGAGTATACATAATTATAAAATCAAAGATTGACAGATGATTGTTCTACTTTTAAAGTCATATGTTATTAACACAAATGAGTATTTTAGAAAATGAAAGAAGAATCCCATCAACTATGTTTATTTCCATCTGTGTTTACAGGAAGTTCAACACAATTGCCAGCTTCATAGAATATCTTTTTGTGCAGATGATAAAACTGACAAGAGGATATTCACTTTCATATGCAAAGATTCTGAGTCAAATAAACATTTGTGCTATGTATTTGACAGCGAAAAGTGTGTAAGTATCCCAGATGTTTTAGGGTGGTTTGTTCTGTTTTACAAGCCAGGAATTGTCTAGTTTCTGGCATTAGTAAAGTATTTGAAAATGAATAATGTCTGTAAATACTTAGCTATACTAATAGATTTATTTTGTCATGAGAATATGCTTCAGGATGTCATCCATGACGAAATTCTCATGTTCATGAGCATAAACTCACATGCAAATTTATTTTATTAGAATGTCATGCCTGCTTATGTTATGCATTTATTTATTTTATAATAATTTAATCTATTTTAGTTTTAAACTCAAATAGGATTTAGTAATATGCACATAATATAAGAGTAATGGTGAGCAAAAGTGTGTTTCCCCCACATGTGCAGAATCTGATGGATTTTATAAAAATAAATATTCTTAACTCCAGGAAGTATAATCTGTATGGTTCCTTAAAAGATTTTCCAATACATTGAAAATGTAGTTCCTTATGTTCGTTATATAAAACCTTAGGCCAGGCACGGTGGCTCACACCTGTAATCCCGGCACTTCGGGAGGCCGAGGTGGTCGGATCATGAGGTCAAGAGATCGAGACCATCCTGACCAAAATGGTGAAACTCCGTCTCTACTAAAAATACAAAACTTAGCTGGGTGTGGTGGCGCGTGCCAGTGGTCCCAGCTACTGGGGAGGCTGAGGCAGGAGAATCACTTGAACCTGGGAGGTGGAGGTTGCAGTGAGCCGAGATCGCACCACTGAACTCCAGCCTGGCGGCAGAGTGAGACTCCGTCTCAAGAAAAGAAAAAACAAAACAAAACAAAAAACTGAATATAATGAAAGTTAATGGAATTATATGTATGAAATTCTATGTTAAATCCTGTAGCTGTTCTTTAATCATCTGAAATCTTAAGGAAAACCCATTGATGGCTGCAGTGAAGGAAAAACATGTAACCTCAACAATTGTATTGGTTTAGGTAGGAAATAAAACAATTCATCTATTTGCTAATTTATCTTGCTGTCAAAAATAGATAGCAAATATTATTATCGCTATTATGTCATTTGTTTATCTAGCTTCAGTATTGAGCTTCTTGAGAACAAATACCTTTTTATTTTTTCATGTGACTCCTACATCAAGTGGACAATAGGTGCTCGATGAAGCATTCCTTAAGAAAAAGATCGCGTTGAAAACTTACAAAACATAGAACAAGTTATCATTTTTATTTTTTAAACTGTAGTTCTCTAGAAAGGAAAGCTAATGTGCTAAGCTACTAGACATCATAATACCTTTTGTGAATTTGGTGCACATTATGGAACATTTCATCAGAAAAAGATGCTTAGCAATCTAAGACAATATTTTGCGCACAATAAGACATTTTATATAGCTCAAATTGATGTTGAATTTTATTTTATATGAACTTCTGTTGAATGAATAAATAAAATTTACATATAATTTACATATTTCAAGTGCTTTTTAACCATGATTGCTTACAGATTCTTTTCTCTATGACTGAGAAGATTGAAGTTGATATTTGTTGAATATCTTCTATACATAATTTATAACCTTTTACCACCGACATAAAGCAGTAAACTCAGTTATTCTTCTTTCTGCCTTACCCATAGAAATAAATTTTGAAATGTTTCAGAGTCAGAGTTCGTTATAAATATTAGCCTTCTTATAGATTTGTGCCACTTGTTTTATATTCTTTGATCCCTATCCAAATTTGTTAAATTAATATTTAAAATATAAGCTTGCCAGCTTAAAAGCATAGACCCCATTTCTTCTTCATCCTAACTGTCTGTAATTGCTTGTTCTCTTTGGATGTAGCATATCTACTCTATTTTTTCTTAAAGACTGAAAATAATTTCCTAAAGCCTAAGCAGTGGTTCACAATCATTAATGTGCATAAAAATCATACGGGATGCCTTTTAAAAACTCTTATCAATTGGGGCTGAAGCTCAGGAAATCTATATTTATCAAGTATACCAAGTTGTTCTGCTGTAGGTAGAGGAAGTCTTGGCTTTGAAAAGTTCCCAGAAAATCTCCCAACTATAAGTTGGCATCACCTTCATGAGCTGAAAAATGACATGTTTTCTTAAAAATTTGTTATACCTGCACTACCTTAACTATGAGGTTTTATCAGTGCTAATTATAATGATGACTATATTTATAACACTGATGTTATATGTATGTAGAATTTTTGATATGCCATCTTATGTAATTCTTATTTTAAATAGTTTATCATAGAGTGCTAAAATGGGAAATAAGTTATGGCCTATCTCATACAAATCTCCTTCTATTTTAAAAAACCAAGATCAGAGATGTTGAAGTAAGTTTTCCAAAGTTACAAAACTAAGTAGTCAGTAGAATCAGGACTAAAATCTAAGACTCTTAATTCCCATTGCTACATTTATCTCAACATGCTATATTACTCCCATAACTGTGGCCTCCTCTAGAGTTCATCTGCTCTTATTGGGGCCTTTACTCTATCTGTTCATTGTATTTTATCTTTTTAGTACTTCTTTGAAATTGAGAATTTGAAAGATGAAAACTTTTTTAGTATGTCACAAGACTGGAATTCACTACTTTATTAACAGTATCATGTTGTATTAATAGTCCTCCTTCTTCTATAGTGATGGTGAGGACCATATGAGGAGTGAGAACATTCAGCCCTGCCAAATTAGAATGCTGAGCCTCTATACTTACCAGGCAATAAGGGAGCAGTGCATTTCCACCCTCACTCTCATACTGGAATTGCATCAGATGAAGCCACCTAAAGCAGAAAATTTAAATCATTTCCAGTATTTCATAAAATGAAAATCACTCTTTGTACCAAGAAACAGGTTTCTTAAACTAAAAAAGAAATGACAGTCAGTAGTTACCAACACATAGATGTCAGAGATATTAGAATTATAGGACAAAGGTTTTGGAACAGCCATCATATAACATAATAAAATGAGCAGTCACAAACACACATGAAACAGATGAGAATGCAGAAAGTCTTATCAATGAAATAGAAAATCTAAGCAAAGAAACAGAAGATATAAAGAATACTGAAAAATAACCACATGAAAGACTCAATGTATAGGCTCAACAGCAGAATAGAGAGAACAGAGGAAAAGAATCAATGACCTAGAAGATTGACAAATAGAAAATGCCCAATCTGAACAACACAAAAATTATAGCCTCAATAAACCAGCAAAAACAAAGCCAAAACAGAACCTCATGGACTGTGGGACCATAACAAAATATCTAACATCTGTGTGTCATCTGAGTCCTGGAAAAAGAGAAATAAGCACCCTTAAAAAACACTCCAAGAATATTAGTTGAAAACATTCCCGATTTGACAAAGAACATCAACCTATAGATTTAAAATACTGGGTGATCTCCAAACGGGATTAATCCAAATAACTCCACACCAAGACACATCATATTCAAGCTTCTGAAACTGAAGACAAAAGAAAAGTCTTGAAAGCAACAAGAGATAAGCAAGTACTTACCTATAGCCGAGAATGTGAATGGCAGTGTATTTCTCACCAGAAACCATGAAGGCAAGAAGGAAGTTACATAAACTGTTGAGTAATGGAAAAAACAAAAATCTGTCAAATGATCCTATGTCCAGAAAAATATTCTTCAGAAATTGGAAATAAATTTTTAAAAATTATTAGATGAATGAAAATTAAGATTGTTTGCCACTACTAGACATCTTAAATGAATGGCTAAAGGAAGTTCTCTAAATGGAAAGGAAACAATACAAAACAGGAACTTGGAGCATAAGGAAGGAAAAGAAAAAACAAGATGAGCAAACATGTGAGTAAATCTTTAGTTTCTAAGTTATGTTTGATGATAGAAGAAAAAAATACTTTCTGATGTGATTTTAAAATCTGACATGATTTCATATATGGACATATGAAATATGTAAGGCAATTATATTAAACTAGGAAGGTTGAGAGGATGTAAAAAGGGAGGTGAGGTGTCTACACCTCACATAAACTGGAAAAATAATAGCACTAGGTAACTATGATAAGTTATATAGATAAAATGTGAATCTGACAACAACCCCTAACTTGTTATATAATGAGATACACTTAAAAGCACTATAGAGAAATTAAAATGTTATCATTTTAAAACCCCATAGAAATGCAATGAAAAGAAAACAGAGAAAGAAAAAAGATAAGTAACAGAAAAGAAAAAGATTAAATAATGTACTTAAGCCCTAACATATCAAAAATCACATTAAATGTAAATAGTCTACACCAGTTAAAATACGTTGTTAGGGTGGATTACAAAACGTAATCCAGATACATATTGTCTATAAGAAGTTCACTGCAAACATAATGGTATAGGTGATATAGGCAGGCTAAAAATGGAAGAATGAAAAGAGAGTTTTCATGCAAATATTATTCAAAGAAAGCAATAGTAACTATATTTACATCAGATAAAGTAGACCTCAATGCAAAGAAAATTACCAGAGACAGAGGGGGACATATAGTGATAAAAGGGACCAGTTCCCAAGAAGATATGGTAATTCTAACTGTATATTACCAAAAAATAGAGCTGCAAAATGAGAAACAAAAACAGATAGAACTAAAAGGGTAAATAGACAAATACACAAGTATAGTCAGAAATTTTACTGGTACTTTCCCTCAAATTTATAGAATAATTAGAAAATCATCAAGGATATAGAATAACTCAACATCATCAACCAGTGGGATCTAATGAGCAATTACAGAGACCCTCAGCTAACAACAACATTGTGTATGTTATTTTCAAGTGTTTGAGGATGATGTACCAAATTAAGTCACATCCTGGACCATAAAGTAAATCTTGAAAAGTTAAAAGAATTAAAATTATTTAACATTTCTCTGACTATAAGGAAATCAGTCTAAAAATCAGTAACAGAAAGCCAGAAAATCTTTACAAGCTAGGAAATGAAACATCATATTTATAAATATTCCATACATCAAATAGCAATTCATACATGAATTTTTAATTCCGTGAATTGAATAAAAGTGAAATAGAGCATATCAA